TGCGGGCCCTCACCCGCCTCCTCGTCTCGCCGCCGCCAGGGTCATGTCCAGCACGGAGGCCAAGCTCATCTACCAGAAGTACGACGAGATGATGGAGCTGCTGCGCAGCTACCGCGAGCGCATCTACCAGCAGTGGGTGTCGCGCGTGGACGAGGACTGCCTCTTCAACCTGGGGCAGCCGCTCCTGCAGCGCGACGCCTCGCGCCTCATCCGCGTCAACTTCAGCAAAGCGGTGCGTGGGCTTCTGCGCGGGGAGGGGCCTCTGCGGGGGGCGTGGCCTCTACACGGGGGCGTGGCCTCTGCGCGTGGGGTGACGTCATGCTGGGCTAAGGCTTTGTCATTGAAGCCTTTGTTTTTTTGTGTATTTTTAAATTTAATCTATTTTACTAGTTAATGCCCTTTGCGAGAATTTAGATCTTTAATATATATATATTTTAGAATTTATTTCAGAGAGGAAGGGAGAGAAAGAGAAACATCAATGATGAGAGAGAATCGCTGATCGGCTGCCTCCCGCACGCCCCCTACTGGGGATCGAGCCTGCAGCCAGGGCATGTGCCCTGACGGAAAATTGAACCCAGGACCCTTCAGTTCGCAGGCCGAGGCTCTATCCACTGAACCAAATCAGCTAGGGCCATTTAGATTTTAAAAATCTTTTTTTATTGATTTCAGAGAGGAAGGGAGAAGGAGAGAGAGGGAAACATCAGTGATGAGGGAGAAACATCATGGATCGGCTGCCTCCTGCACGCCCCCTACTGGGGATCGAGCCCACACCCCGGCCCGTGTCCTGTCCAGGAATCGAACCGTGTCCTCCTGGTTCCTAGGTCAACGCTCACTCACTGAGCCCCACCGGCCGGGCCATCTTTGTTTTTGTTTTAAGTTTGCTCGGGACATGTTTCAGATCTGAGACAGAGCAGTAGCACCTGGAGGCCGGCTTCAGCAAGCGCACTATCTGAAAGCAGGCCGCCCATGGGGTCCCGCGCGCAAACGTCAATCTGAGAATTCATATTTAAAAAAAAATTCTTGAAACCCAAGAATGAGAAACAAAGGTATTTCCCCCCTGACCGGCTGGTTCCGCCTTCCCTGTGGGCCTCAGCTGGTGGCAGTGCTGAGAGAAGTCAAGTACCTGAACTTCCAGCAACAGAAGGAGATCCCGCGCAGCGCCGAGACCCTGTTCTCGCAGTACGAGACCTTCCGGAAGTTCGTGGGCAACTTGGAGCTCATCGTCGGCTGGTACAACGAGGTGAGCCCGTGGGCGCAGGCGGCGGCCACGCCCTGCTGCCTGGAACCCGGTTTCCCACGGACGCGCATGCGGTGTCCACCCTCGTGGCCTGCCCGCTTGGTCCCTCCGCCCTTGCCCACCGTTTCTCCGCGTGGATCGCCTGAAAACGCTCGGCGGCATTGGTGGGCTGGAGGTGGGAGGCGTGGGGGCTGTGGGCAGTGCCAGCGCAGGTAGAGTGGCTCTGAAAGGCACCTTGTCAGTGCCCGATGCGCCCTTTTAATGCTGCGCACGCCCCTCACTGCAGACACAGGTGCCCTCGGAAAGTGACATAGGACACAGATGGCTGTGAGCTGGGGCTCAGGGGTGCCCGTTCTTCGGGAATAATTTAGAGACATCTGCTGGTGCCCTCCTTCCTTTCTCGTCTGTGGGTGGAGGTTTTCAAGCATTAAATTAGCTTCTGAGAGCAGAGCAGCGCTGCACCCGGACGGGACAGAACCGATGCTGTTAGTGCTGATGCCCCGAGGGACCCAACGCCGATCTCAGCCTGGGGACCGAGGAGAGGCCCCGAGCCAGCAGGGCCCAGTTACCCCCCCTCCAACCCCCCCTCCCCCGTGCCGTCTGCTGAGGTTCTTTGCCTGGTTCTGCGCCCGGGGAACTTGGGGATTACGCACTGGTCTTCATGACCATCTTCCCTTCTCTTTCTACCCCATAACATGGGCAATGAAGGAGTTAAGTATATACATGAATCCCTGGGGATACAAACACTTCCGGCGGGAACAGTCCTCGCTGGGGGACACGGCGGCCTCCGGTGGGTTTGGTGGGACAAAGGCCCGGCCGGCTTGTGTGTTGGGCAGATAAAGACCACGGTGATGGAAGTGGAGTTCCCCCTCATCAAGGCAGAGCTGGAAGGGATCGACGTCAAACTGCTGACTGCCGAGACCACGCTGTTCTGGAACGGCGAAGGTATCCCCCCCACCCCCCGCCCCCGGGCCTGGCCGCCTGGGCCAAGGTGGGCGGGGTGGGCCACTTCTGCCTGCTGGCAGCTGGGTCAGCTTTTTTAAAAATATATATTTTTATTGATTTCAGAGAGGAAGGGAGAGGGGCTGGAGAGGAACATCAATGATGAGAGAGAATCACTGATCGGCTGCCTCCTGCCCGCCCCCTACTGGGGATGGACCCCGCAACCGGGCATGTGCCCTTGAAGGAGAATGGAACCAGGACCTCCTGGTTCATAGGTCAACGCTCAAACACTTGAGCCACGCCAGCCAGGGCTGGTGGGTCAGCTTTGACAGCAACAGGGTCATGTGTTTGGCCAAAGGCCGCCCAGCCCCCAAACAGCCTGTGGAATCTGCAGAGGCTCCTGGGGACCACCAAGGACCTCCGTTTCCAGCTGGACTTGCTGGAGGCGGGCACAGCAGAGGGCAGGGTGAGGGCCATGGCAGCCGGCTCAGGGCAGGTGTCGCAGAAGTAGAAAGAAATGTGCTCACCGGGCAGAAGTGCCTGCCCCAGCACCCCTTGTGCCCTGGACCCATGCTGGTGGGCACCCACTCCATCAAGACCTCCAGCCTCGCCTCCTGCCCTCTTTTCCAGCCTCCGCCGCCGTAGCTCGCCGCCACGGTCTCTAGGAGAAGGCGGGACGGTCCACTCATCTGAACCGGGGTCCGTGGGCTCTTCTGGGCCCGGAAGTCATACGATTCTGTTCTCTCCTTTCTCCCCAAGCGCATCTCTTTCTGGCCGCTCACCTCCCGCACGCTGTGGCGGTCAGGGTTGGGCACAGGCGGGCCCTGGGCCTCAGGGGTCTGGAGTGCCAGGGGGGAGTGACCGATGGCCGTTGGGGACAGGGAGGCGCTGCTTCCCGCGCCCCCCCCCCGCACCGTCCCGGCGTGGCCCCTAGGGACCTCGGTGACTCCGTGCTCCAGGGGAGCGGAGGAAGTTTCCAGGCGCGTCTCCTAACGCCACGCGCCAAGCCGGCCCAGGAGTCTCCTCCCGCTAACTGGCTCGTCCTCCGGTCCCAGGCGTCCTCGCGTACATCCAGGAGATGCGAGAGATTCTGCACAACCTGCAGACCAGGATACAGAAAGCCAAGCAAAACATAGAGGGGATCGCCCAGGCCATGAAGGTGAGGCCCACGATGGTGCAGAGACGGTGGGACCCGCGGGGGAGAGGGGGGCTCACACGTGGCCTGGTGGGGGGCGGCCTCCCGGAGGAGGGGGGATGCTGCGGCCGTCCTCCGGTCCATCCTCTGAGGCCCCGACTGGCTTTGAGATTTGGTGTCCTGGGCGCGGGCCTGTGTCCTCAGCGGCCACGTCCCCTCTGAGGCCAGCAGGGCCAGGGCAGCTCTGAGAGCGGGCAGACAGGAGCGAGGCCGGAAACGCGGCCTCCACACGCCTCCCTCACGCCCTGGCGCCCTCTCAGGACTGGTCGGCCAACCCACTGTTCGAAAGGAAGGACAACAAGAAGGAGGCCCTGCTGGACCTGGACGGGCGGCTGACCAACCTGAACAAGCGCTACACGGCGGTCAAGGAGGCGGGGATCAAGATCCAGGCCATGGTGGCGGTGAGGCCCAGGGACGCGAGGGCTGGGGTTCCCATAGCAACGGTGCCGCGGTCCGGAGCCTCCGCTCCCTAATCCCAGAGACTTGTCGTGCAGTAGCGGACCCCCCAAACGCGGCCTTCGAGGCTGGTTCTCTTGCTCTGTGTCCCCCTCCTGAGCTCCAAGAGTGAGACCACTGCCCGTTCCTGCACGGAGCGGGTGTGGACAAGGGCCATCCTCCCTCGAGGTCCCCGAGCTCGTCTCCCGGGGTCGGTGCTGGAGGCGCGCGTGGCGTGAGGCTCTGCTGA